TGAGGCTTCTGCTGCTCCTTGGACGGACTGCTGGATACTGGCCATTAGACTCCCCTCCTCGTTCTCCTCTACCTGGGTTTTCCAATGACTGGTGTGGGGCTGCGTGGGCTTATCCAACACAGCTCACCGCCCGCGACCTCCAGTGCACCACTCGCTGACCTGGGGCCAAAGCCCGAACAGAGGAGGGGTTCAGTCCACAGCTCCTCCCAGATGCGCTCGCTCCCAGCGGCTGTCGCAGATGAGTCACCACCTCATGCTGGTGGTTTCCCTCAGTGCTTCTGCGAAAGTCGCCCCCAGCACAGGATGCGGCCCGGCAGGCACGCGCCAAGGCAGTCTTCGCAGGGTCCGGGGTGCGTGCACTGCAGTCACTGTCCTCCTCCCCACGCCAGAGGAGCTGAGGTTTCCCTGGGAGGAGAACGGTGGAGGAACAGTTTTGGAGGGTCCACGCTGCACCAGGCACTCTGTATAGCATGTCTGAGCGGGGCGAGGAAGCTTCACCACAGTCCATGTGGAATCATCTTCTGGAATGAGTCCCGGTACCTGGGCGAGGAAGCTGAGTTGCAGTGAGGAGGCAGAGCTCACCCAGGTCACTCTGCTCCCACCAAGAAAGCCAAGACTCCACACGGGCAACTGTCTAGAGAGCCACATTCTTCCAGCGTGAGGTAGTGACAGATGGGAATATGCCAGCTCTCTGTTCAGCCTGGTACCCTTGCCAAGGAGGGCAGGCCCCAGGCAGGGCAGTTTGCAGGAGGCTCCAGATCAGGGCACAAGGCTGCAGGCCAAAGCTGAGGTCAGCTGCTGCTGCTGACTTTAAGCTTGTCAACCCACCTGGCCATCTCTCTGTCCATCCATCCAACTGGAAGCTGTAAAAGGTTGTGATGTCTCAACCCTGCAATTTATTTTCTTGACATAGTCCCCCACCCTGCTCCCCTCATTCACCACAAAACAAGATCTCCCAGGAGAGGAGGAACCCTCAGTGGGGATGCAAGGACCATCGAACTCTTTCAAAATATACAAGGACTGGGGTGGCCAAGGAGGGGTGGCCTCAGGCAAGAGGCTATTTCCACCTGCAGCACATTGTTTGCCATACGCACTGCCATCTGGGGTCAGTGTGACAACGTGCATGATCTCCAACACACCGAAACTAACAGTGTGACAACACCGCCCCCCCCCACACACACCCCCCAGGCCTCCCAACAATGATGGGAAGGGAAGGAGCAACAAGTGAAAAAATAATCAAATTTTAAGAAGCAAATGTATAGTTCAATGGCTTTTTGCATATCCACAGGGTGGGCAACTGTCACCCCAATCTAATTTCAAGATATTCTCATCAGCCTCCAAAGAAACCCATTGTCTGTTAGCAGTCACAGCCCATTCCTCTTCGCCCCAACCTCAGTTCATCAATAATCCAAGTCTTGTCTCTATCCATCTTCTGGATTTTTCATATAAAAGGAACCTTACAATGTATATTTTTTGTGACTTTCACTGACTTTCAAGTTATTTATGCTTTTTCATATACCCACACTTCCTTTCTTTTCATTGCCAAGGGATATTCCATTGTCTGAGTCCATGCCTTTTCTCTCTCCGTTCACTGGTTGCTAGACAACTTGTTTGGGTTCTTACTGTTCTTTGACTTTATGAACAATTCTGATTTAAGGTCCTCACATTGGCTTTTGTGAAGAATTCTATTTTCCTTCCTCTTGGGCGTGTGCCTAGGGTTGGAACTGCTGGGTCATATGAGAATCCCTCCCGTGTTCAACCTAGGAGGTTGCATCCATTTCACATTTCCCTCAACAATCTCAGAGGGTCCCAATCTCCCCATGTTCCCTTCAACACTTACCACGTCCTTTTTGTCATGCCATCCCAGTGAGTATAAAGTGGTACTCATTATGGTTTTGATTCCAGCTCCCCAAGGAACAGATAGATTCCTGGGCCCAATTCCAATGCAAGCATATGAGGAGGCTTCCCTACCGCCCACCTGGCAACTCTTGCACACCAACAGAATCAGAAAACACACCCTGTGCAGAGACAGTGTCTGATCCCACAGAGGAGGGGTCTGGTTTCCCCCACCTACTCTCCACTTGTCACATCAGGCTCTCACCTGATCTCCAGAGCTCCTGCCGAGACAGTGGAGGCCACAGAATGTCAGACGCAGGAGCACAAGAGGCTTGCAGAGTCCAGGAAACCTCATTAGCAACTGGATTACACGTGGTTACACAGGAGACTATTCAGCAGCATGCGGTTGAAAGAGGTTCACAGGGCAAGGTTTGAGGTGGGGGTGGGGGTATGGGGTTTCCATGTCTTCCCTGGGGTGCCTTTCTTCCTGAGCTCACCAGCTCGGAAGATCTTCTGGATTTGGGGGATTGAGGGTTACAGACAGAGGCTTGACTGATTAAATCAAATCACAGGCATGATTGAGTAAATCATCATTGGCAACTGACAAACTGAACTATCTGTGAACCCTCTCCCATCCCTGGGGATCAGGAGGTGGGTCAGGAAGTTCCATCCTTTATTTCAATTGGTTTTCCTGGGAACCAGCCCCTATCAGGTGTTTTCCCAAAGTTACTTTCATTTGTATGAGAGACCACTTTAACACTCTTGACACTTTTGGAAAGTCCATGGCTTTTGGGAGTCCTGAGACAGGAACAGTGCATTAATACCAAATATGTATGAGAAATATGTTTTTTTCCATATAAAAGGACAATATCACATTAGAGATGCTATCTTCTTTGGAACAATGTCCATTCGAATACTTTGCTCATTTTAACACTAGGTTAAAGTGATTTCTTTATATATTCTGGATATAAATTCCCTATCTGATATTTGCAATTACTTTTCCCATTATGTGGGATTGCTTCATTTTCTTGACAGCATCATCTGTAATATCAAAGTGTCTTTAAATTGTAGTTGATTTATATTTTGTCACTTATGCCTTTGGTGTTCTAAGAAACTTTGCCAAATGCAAGTCCACAAAACATTTTTTTCCTCTATAATTCATCCTCTGTCTTCCCCTTTATCTAGGTCTATGGTCCATCTTAATATTTTTTGCATATTAAAGGCAAGTTTACAATCTTAATCGTTTGACATGACTCAGATGTCCCACAGACATTTGTTAAAAGTTGATTCTTTCTCCATTGAATTGTCCAGGCATCCTTGTCAAAAAAGTCATATTTACTTCTGAATTCTCTTGTTTTATCCCCTTAATTTACATCAGTATAATGTATTGGTTTACTGAAACCTTGTAAGAGGGAAGTGTGAGTCCTTCAACTTTTTTCTGTATCAAGATCATTTTGACTATTTGGGGACTTGAGTATTTCCATAGGAATTTTAGTAATTGACATTCAGTGTCTGCAAAAGGTAAAAGGAGGACCGAAGGTTTGGCTGACCTCTGCTGCCACCAAGTGGTAACTCCTCAGCTTAGCAGCCAAGGGAGACAGCGACAGTTCCTAGGATCAAACCAGCGATGCTATTACTGTTTTTCGCATATCGAATGGGGAGCTTGCCAGACTTTGCTGTGCAGGCAGATACTCTCGGTAGCTTGCCGGGCTCTCTGAGAGGGGCGGAGGAATCCGCCCAGGTCGGCCGCATGGAAGGCAAATGCCTTACCCGCTGTGCTATCACTCCAGCCATATGTACATAAGATATGTACAAACAGATATCATAATGCAGATAGCATCTCTCTTTCACTTTTCCATGAATATGCAATGTATCATTTTAAGTTAAAAAACAAAGCTATCACAACATCTTGAAAGAAGAAACAAATATGGGGATTGAACACTCTTCTTTTAAAACCAGACATATGAGAATGTTGCAAAATTTAAACCAAGCACAATTTTTCTCATTGATTTTGTTTGGGAAGAGTAGTTGTCTTTTAAAAACATGTACACAGTGCCAGATATGTAATACAGTGATCAAAATGCTTGCTTTGCACGTGGCTGATTCAGGTTTGATTCCCAGAATCCTAAAAGGAGTAATCCCTGAGCACAGACCCAGGAGTAAGCACTGAACATCAATGGGGGTGGCCCCAAAAAACCCCAAAATAAGTAAAAATATGTAAATGTCTTTTACATGAAGTGTAAAGACATATCATGGGTTTATTATACTTTAAATATCCATCAAATTATGTTTTCATTTCTGGTAAATGTTAAACTTAAGTAAATTTTCTTGTTGTGTCATGGTTACCCTACTTCTTGTATCCCTTCCCAATAAAATAAAGGTCATGTCTGAAGTTCTGTGAACCTGGGAAGCTGTACCTACCTGGGACTTCCTTTACAATTCTGTGTTCACTCTTCCTTCCTTCCATGACCTCCCGAATTTTATTGAGTGGATCAATATAATGGCATGCATTAAAAGTATACACATTGGTGACCTGATGTACGTCTATGCTGGGAAATGATGACTGAGATGAAGATAATGAACACATGATCACCTCAAGAATCCCCAGGACCTCCCCCCAGAAGCTTCTGGAGAAAACAAACCTTTAGAATAATGACAGCTTTCAGAAAACCACCCCCTGGATAAAGTCTTTTATTTTGTTTTGTCTTCTTCCCCATGGAAACGAGAGACCTGGAGACACCCACCTCACAGGCCAGCACAGCTGGGGCTGGGGTGGGGGGAGAGAGTCTCTTCCATCTTCCTCTCTTTCCCTGCCCTTCAGCCACAGTGCCCACCACCCACCTGATAGCCGGAAGGGGAGAAGGAGTTCTGCTGCACCCCCGGGCAGATGCATCTGTTGGAAAGGCATCAGTATGGGGCAGAGAGGGCAGTGGCTATGCCTTGGCAAGGTTCTCTGTAAAGTGCTCACCTCCCCCAAATGCTATAGGAATGACTTGTCTTCTTTCCTTGATGAATTTTCCTGAGCTTGAAAGTAGACCTAGGAGGCTGGTGTATGGAGAGTCATAGCCAGGAGGCAAGCCAGCAGATCTCCAGGGATGGGATGCTGGGGACGAGTTGGGGTGCTGCTGGCCTGAGGTGGGGTCCCTACCCCTACTATCACAGTTCCAATTCTCTCGTCTTGTCTGCTTCTGCTTCCTTCCTGTGAACGGATGAAATGAAGAACTCATCACACAACCGCCTCCATGACCTCAAGGCCCTCTGTCACTCACATGAGTGATGAGCTGGAGGTGATTAATAAGATGCTTTTCCTCCAGGGCCTTGATGGGCCAAGGGTGAGCACGGGACTGGTTCCCGGGGGGATGCTGGAGCTGGTTGGAGCAGAGATGCATGTTGGCAGCAGTTCTGGGCATCTCCTGGACCCAGGGGCTCCTGGGATCCTCCTCATCTGACTGTTTCTTTGGAACTGTAGGACCCCTTTTTTCAAATGCATCTCTGTCCCCATCCTTGATCTAGACCAGGTGGCACTCTCCACATCCTCAGAGTGGCTGTCACCGCTGCCCATAGCTTGGCCTGCCCCAGTACTCAGAGCCACTGGACAAATGCAGCTCCAGGATGTGTTAAAGAGCCTTGGTGTTCTTGGGTTCACGCAGGAGGTGAGGCTGGTTCTAGATGAGCTTCTGGAAAAGCTGCTAAGCAGCTGCCCTCTCTGGCAGAGGATGGCAAGCAGGTGTCTGATTCGGAGACACTGAATACTTCCAGGAACAAAAGCTTCCGGTGGGGACTGTCTAAGAGGGGCCACATCCTGGATGGTCATGATTTGGCCTTCTAGAGACTTCTCCCATTGGGCCAATGTCATCAGTTACCAGGTGGTCACTGTGGTTGGAGCTGCAGCCCAGGCAAGTGTCTAGCGTCTCTGTGAATGGCCAGGATTTGGCATTGAAAGCACCTGATAGCTGAAGATTTCAGATTTCATGACATGAAAAATGCCCCTGAACCACTATGTATAGAAAGACTACTAAGAGGAAGAGTTAAAGGCCGCCACCTAAAGGAAGATGGATCCCATTTGAGGTTACATATAAAAAATACATGGAACTTGCATTGCAAGGTCTTGAGATTACATCTGTATTAATTTGTTTCTTTTTATTTTTACTTTCTGGCTTTTTTTTAAATAGAAATATACATTGATTTTACTGTAGGATCTTTTTTAAAAATCCCTTTTGGGGAAGGGATAGTACAGGGAGAAATAGTACAGGGGTTATGGTGTTTGCCTTGCATGTCGCTAGCCCTGGTTTGAGCCCCAGCAGTACATGGTCCCCTGAGCACCACCAGAAGTGATCCCTGAGTGATCCCAGAGTCAGGAGTAGTCCCTGAGCACCACCGGGTGTAGCTCCAAGACCCCAAATATAAACGATTAAAAAAACCCTCCACTTTCATCTTTTAAAAGTTGGGAAGCGGCTGGACTCTAATTGCAACTTAAAGAACGAGACAATTTCTCTTCAAATACAGAAAATCTTCAGCCAAATCTTCAGTGCTTAATTATGCAAAGCAGAAAGCCAGGAGATTTGTGACTGTGGCTATAAAAAAACTACAAGCATTTGCTTTAAAGCCAATTTCCAGCACTTGTCCTGGTCCTCCTCAGCAGAGAGGTCTGTGGTGCCTTCCCCAGGGTTGGAGTCCCAAGCTCTTCCAGTCCCCCTGTCCTGGTGGGGCTCAGCTTCCCCAGGGGAGGTGGCTGAGAGTCAGCGTGACCTTCAGCAACCAGAGCAAAACTGTCTCCTGATTCACTAGAAAATTCTGCAACTCACCCTATTATGTTTTCTGAGCTCCATAAACAACCAGCTGGGGATCAGAGAAGGAGAAATAAGGGAAGAACAGAGAGGATTGTGTGTGTGTGTGTGTGTGTGTGTGTGTGTGTGTGTGTGTGTGTGTAGTGCTGGGGACTGAGCCCAGGGCCTCATACATGCCAGGTAAATGATCCAAATCCCTGGCCTCTTGCAGATGTTTTGTGATGACTGCTGGTGCTCTGAGCGAGGTAGTAGCTGCAACGAGAACAACTCACTGGCACTCTCCTGGAACTTTCCTGCTGAGTGGACAGTTAGGATGCAGAAATTGGCAGGGGATGGGTGGTGAGCAGACACAGCTATCTAGCAGGGGCCTCGGGGCAGGCTTCCCTGAAGAGGAGACTTCTTGATAAAACCCGCATGACACAGGGGGACCGTTGAAGCCCAGCTCAGAGTGAGACAAAGGTGTCTGGGTGGGCACAGCCTGTGTAAAGGCCTGAAGGTGAGAGGAGACAGAATGCTTTGGACGGTGGTGAGGATGCGACTACATGACATTTCAGAGGGCAGTCGGGAGCACTGGGAGCCCTTGAGTATGGATGGGGTCACTTGCTGAGTGTCTGACTTTAGATGCCTGGGGCCACAGTGATTGTGCGGCAATGACAGGAGTTCAGTGAGGAGGAGTGGGGGCAGGAGGCAGGGGGTGGGATGGAGGGGCGCTGGTGGCCCATCGGTGATGCTAACCCAGGCTTCGAGGTCAGCAGGGAGGTGGGGTCACGGGTGTCTATGCGACAGGAGGTGGCCCGCTGCTTTGAGTCCGCACCCCTGGATCTATGAGTTTGTGCAGTGACGCCAGGTGTGATTCTCTGTGCGGGGCTGTCGGAGGCCACTGCAGGAGAGCCTCAGCAGGCGTCTTCACTCAAAACTGGTGATTTCGGCTCATGGGTGGGGCCAGGAGGTCTGTGACAATGACGAGGAGGAGAGGGGCCCTCAATGAAGCTTCGTGCACTAGACAGGTACCAAGGAGAAGACCACCACGACATAGTGACAGAGTTTCCAGCCACAGTGAGGGGGCAGTGGGGGACAAGCACTGACCTGGCGCTAGGGGCTGGGCACCCCCTGGTTCCCGCGGAAGGCCTTCAGCGAGAGCTCGTAGCCCAGGAACATGGCGGCACTCATGGGGAAGCCCCGGACCATGTTGACCGTGGCACCTCTGAAAAATACCTTTGGCAGGAGGCAGTGTTAGCCGCAGGCTGGGTGGCACCTCCCAAGTGGGGCCTCTGTTGAGTGCCCACTCCCAGTCTGGCTGGGCCCTGCTCAGGGATGGTCTTAAGTTCGGGGAAGGGCCTGTGTTTGGGTTAGTCCTTCAGCTTCAGGGAGGAGGAAAGAAAGAAAGAGAGTTGGGGTCAGCTGCCCTAATAGCTGGGCAGAAAATGAAACAAATAAAGGGGTCTCTGGGATGTGAGCTCCTGAGGGATGGGAAGGCACCTAGGGAGCCCACGTGTTGGAGGAGGTGAATGAGGTGTTGTGTTGAGTGGCAGGAATCCTGAGCCTCAGCACTGGTTATAGATAGGCAGACAGAGAGACAGGCTGACAGTCAGGCAGATGTGGTCCCAGGATCTAACTCTGCCCTGTTCCAGCTGCATGAGTCGGGCAGCTTACTGGGGCTCTCTGGACCTGGGGTGTGTGGGGGTTGGAGGGTGAGGGGCAGGGCAGTGGGGGCTTTGATACCTGCTTCGTTCAGCCTGGGCCAAGGATTAGTTAAGAGCAGGGCCACTCACAGGGGGGTGGAATGATCATCACCAGCCTCAGTTTCCCGAATATCCTTGGGCTGACCCTGACCCCAGGGTCACCAGATGCTTACTTTCAGGCCTTCCTTCCCATAACTCTGGGAGATACAATCCAGGACGCCTTTGTATTTGGTCACGTAAACCCCGTCAGCTTGGAGTCGACTTTTCACGACATCCATAGGAGTAGCTGTCCCCCAAGAAATTGCTCCTGCAAAGAGAGAGGTGGACAGGAGACAGTGTGGTGGGTGGGGTGTAGACTCCCACCATTCAGAGTGCGGTGCAAATGTCCACCATTCAGAGTGCTAGTGTAGACTCTTGTCATTCAGAGTGCTGGTATAGACACCCACCATTCAGAGTGCTGGGGTGTAAACTCCTTCCATTCAGAGTGCTGGGGTGTAGAGGACCACCATTCAGAGACTCAAGAGGCTGCTGCAGAAGGGGGTGGATCAGCCCAGCAGGCTGGTCCTGCCCATCACTCTGAGACTCTGCACTCTGCTGCCTTCACTGAGCCTTATGTCTTTCATTTGCTAAAGGGGCAGCAGTGCCTCTCTGGGTGGGGTTGCCATGAGGACCAATAAGCAGATTCACAGGAAGAGTCAGCACAGATCATCCCCATGGCCAGGGCTACAGAAGGGGAAGCTGAGTAGCAGCGTATGTGGAAGAAACAGGAACAGGCCCCACCAGGGCAGCCTGGCAGCCTTTGTGGGGCAGCTGCAGAGGCCAGGGCGGGGCCGGATGCTGAGGCCAGGGCTCTTTGAGGTAGCCTTTCTCTGGCACACACCTGCTGACAAGGCAGCAGGACAGGACAGGGCAGAGGACAGCAGGCAGCTCTATCTTTAAAACCCACTTGTCTTTTCAGGATCTTGGGGCCACACCACTGCCTGGGTCATCATCACAGGATAACTCAGGGCCCCTGATTGAACACTTTTGTGTTCTGAGGTCTCTAGCACCAGGTAACCATACAAACACAGAAAGTGGGACATTCTTGAGTGGGGAGAGAAGAACAAGCGGATGCCCAAGTGGAAAGCAGCGGGTTAGTGAGATTTTGTAACTGGAGCCCAAGGCTTCCCAAAGAGGCTTCACCTGTACTGGACCCTTTGCCCATGCCCGTGTCCAGCCCCAGATGCCCCCTGCCCATGGCCCCCTGGGAGCTTCCTGCTAGGACTGTCTGCAGTGTCCCCTGAGGGGGCAGGGTGCTGCTCTGGGGTGGGGTGGGGGTCACTACTCAGACCTGCTCCTACCAGGAAGGAGGGTCAACGGGGCCCTGAGGTGAGCACTTACTAGGTGCAGTGCCTGGGCCAGGACATACACAGACGGGGCCACGGGGGGAACTTTCCGTTTGGGACTAAGCCACGATATGCATTTGCCAAGTTTCAGAGTAGGGCTAATTCTGATGACAGTGCTGGGGTTGGGGTAGGGGGTGACAACTTTTTTCTCCCCAGGACGTCCTTCCCATCTGCAGCAGACACACTGTGGAGTCATCACCCTCTCCCCCTTCCTCTGCCTTTGGCTGCATTTCTCTCTTCCTCATCTGGCTCAGCCAATTCCTTCAGGAGGGGTGTGTGTGCATGTTCTCCAATCACCCTTCCCTCCACCCAAACAGCTCATGTCTCCATTTGGCAAATTCCTCTGAGGCTGCCCCATGGCTAGGCCTAGGCAGCAGGAAAAGCAAGTGCAAAGGCCCCGGGGTGCTGTCCGAACATGCTGCTGCTGCAGATAGTCCTGTGGCTCCAGTGGAGCAGGGACAGGAATACACAGTGGGGTGGACTGTGAGTATTGGAAACATCTTCAGGGAATTAACTTCTACCCTAAGAGAAATGGAGCTGCAGTGTGGGAATCAGGCAGGAGGTTAGAGGGCACAGACACCCTTGGAAGGCATCAGAATTTCCACCTGTGCCTTTGTCTGTGGAGTCCCTGCAAGTCCCTCCCAGCTCTGACCCTGCCGTAGTGACTATTATCCCTAAACCTAGGCTTTTCCATCTGGAAAATGAGGAGACTGAGGCCCAATGCAGTGAGTAAGCTGACACGGTCTCCTCAAGAGAGAGCGTGGTGGCAAGCCGAATTCAGAAGGGCAAGCATGGCGGTGGGCTCCTTTCGCCATGCCCAGGAATACCTGACCCAGAGAAGATGCTCCACAGAACCTGGGCAGAAGGTGATGGAGTCCACCCCAATAGAGATTTGTCTTCCCCCCAGATGCAGAGGGAAGGGGACAGGGCCTGCAATGAATAAGCAACTCAGGTTCTAGCATTTCTTTTTCTCTGCCTAACAAATAGCAAAGATTGGTCCTTGGGGGGCTGGGAAGGGCCCGGCAGGCTTCCCAGCTGCAGTGGCCTGCATAGAGAGCAGACAACACGGTCCCCCTTACCTGCCACGCCGCCAGCCAGCCACACGGAGTAGGGGCTGGGGCCCGTGCCGCCCTCCGGTGTCAGCCACTCGTTGATGAACACATAGGGGATGAAGTAGAGGCAGTAGCCAGGGATGTCCCGCAGAAGCATGGCGCTAAGGCCCCGGTACAGCCCGGTGAGGCCCTCGGTGCGCACGATGGTAGTGAGGCAGTGCACAGGCCCCTGGTAGGCTGCCCGCTCCCCGAGGGCTGCCTTCCTGGCCGGCGAACCTGGGCGGGCTGCAAAGAAAGGGGAGGAGAAAACAAGCCTCTGAGGCAAGGCACTGCCGTTCTCCAGCCCTGGGGCCACCGGTCGGGAGTTCCCAGTCACGTGGCCATGCATTTTTCACTAGACCTAACCTTGGCAGCTCAGACTGTGATTCTGAAATCCCCACAGGGAGTTCCTGGCAGCAAGCTGAGCCAGGTCAGAGACAGTTCTGGCCAGGAGATGAGATACCAGCTGCCTAATAATCCAGACATCTTGCTCCACCATCACTGTCTTACTAAGAAGACAGACTGATTGCCAGCTCTTCCTTGAAGCAGAGACTGAAAAATCCACTCTGTGTGTGTGTGTCTGTGTGTATGTGCGTGTGTGTGTGCATGTGTGTGTCGTGTGTGCGTGCGTGCACGCGCGCGCATGGGGTGGGGGGGGGGTGGGGAGTGTACTTGGCAGAGTATGGTAAGAGTAGACTAGACTGCTACGGGTCCCAGTCCCGCCATCTGCAAGCCCCTTTCACCTTCTTTCTTTTTTTTTTTTTTCGGTGCACACCCTGCATGCTCAGGGGTTACTCCCGGCTCTGCACTCAGGAATCACTCCTGGCAATGCTCAGGGACCATATGGTATTCAGGTTTGAATTTGGTTGGTCACATGCAAGGCAAGTGCCCTACCTTCTGTACTACTGCTCAGGCTCCCACCCCTACCCCCACTCTTAGGGCCACCTTTTCAGCCTTTGCTTCCTTATCTTTCAAAAGATAAGCCACCACTGTATCAGATACTTGAAAGTTGTCAAATAGCTCCTAAAAGATCTTACACATGCCGAGAAGGTCATGGAGGTGCTATCTAACATTATTTCATGATCTACACATAACTGAGGTACTGGGGATCAAACCCAGGGCCTCATGCATGCTAAGCACGTGCTCTACCACTGAGCTATACCCCTGGAGCGATAGCACAGCGGTAGGGCGTTTGCCTTGCACGCAGCCAGCCCAGCAGAGCCAGGTTCGATTCCTCCACCCCTCTCGGAGAGCCTGGCAAGCTACCGAGAGTATCTTGCCCACATGGCAAAGCCTGGCAAGCTACCCGTGACGTATTCATATGCCAAACACAGTAACAAAAAGTCTCAAAAACAGAGACGTTACTGGGCCTGCTCGAGCAAATCGATAAACAACGGAGGACAGTGCTACAGTGCTACAGTGCTACACATAATTGGCTCAGCATGTTGCCTGCCTTAAAGATGTCAAAAGTCAATGATCTCTCAATGAAGCTGGAAACATTCATGTGTATTGGTGCTGGGGATCCAGCCCCAGGTCTTATACATGCAAGGCATGAGCTAGTCTATATCCCTGGAAAAACATTTTTCAAAGGAGAGAGAGAGAGAGAGAGAGAGAGAGAGAGAGAGAGAGAGAGCAGAGTGGTAGCACAGCAAGTACAAGTACGGCTGTTACTTGAGTGTGGCTGATTCACGTTTGATCCCTGGAACCACATATGGTCCATGAGCACTGCCAGAAGTGATCCTTGAGCACAGAGCCAGAAGTAAGCCCTGAACACTGCTGGATATGGCCCCAAAACCAACTAAAAATTAAATGAGAGAGAGAGAGAGAGAGAACTTTGTGCATGTGACCAAGGTAAGCACATGTTCAGCGTGGTGGAAGGAACACAGGTGGAATAAGTTATCACCTATTATTGCTGAGCCTGCCGTGTCCAGGACACATCAGGGACAGGATCACTAGCTGGAAGGCTGGGCTTATTCTCACTGACTCACTGTGGAACGGGTCAGGCTGTGGGAGATCCCTGGGCATGTGGAGACCGGGAACCCCGGACAGTTGTCTCCTAGTCTGACCCTGCATTCTCCCAGCACATCCTGGATTGCTGCATCTGCCTCTTCTTCTAAGGACGAGGTGTGGACAGCAAGTTGTGACTTTGCTCTCTCCCTTTGAACCCTCCAACCTGATTCTCCCCACACCCAGCTGTCGCCTCCCACTTCTACAAACCCTTTAGTGCAACTTTGACTCTGGGTGGGACTCCAGGGAAGAGACAGACAGCATGTTTCCTCCTGGAAAATGAACGTGATGTGGCCAGGAAGGAGCGGAACACAGCTGCCTGCTACCACACTCCCGCTTGGCCAGCCTGGCCTAACTGCTCATTGGAGGCATCTCCCTTGGGTCTCTCAGGTGCTGGCCAAAAGGCAGGCCACTTTCCACCCAGCACTGCCCTCCCGTGTCCCCCCACCCCACCCCCCCAGGCAGTCCCATCTTCATCGAGTGAAAGGTTAGAATTCACTCCTGCATCATGACTCCAGAGTCCAAACTAGAGCTGGGGGAGTAAAGTGCAGCCTGAATTCTTGCTCATCCCAGAAGTAGGTGAGGTCAAGCGGAAACGTTCTGTTTGCTTGGGACATGGCTTAAGTCAACTCAGCCTGCCTGGGGGCAGAGCAGTCCCTGCCACCCACCGTAGGCCTCTCAGCCAGGGCAGCACCACACCCAGGGGAATCTCATTCACTTCTGCTGAGATCCTAGAACAGTGATCACCTGGCCCCACAGGCTGGGGCAGGTCGGCAGGTGAAGAGAACAAGAGCCACCACCATGGTTCTAACTGCGGGTCCCTAGTCCAGTGGGCAGGGCAGGTGCTGGCCCGCAGGTATAAGAAGGTGGACGAATGCCAGGTTAGAGAGATGGGCAGGGACGGGAACCACTTTGGAGGCAAAGGTCATCTGAGTTCAGAGCAAGATCAGACACAGGGGGTTTCTGAAAGCCTGTCGAGAGGGTACTGGACAAGGCCTTCTCCCAGATTCTCTGTGAGATGAAACAGCCATTGGCTAAATGCACTGACAGTCTGGGCCATACTTACGCCCCTGACACAGTGATATGACCTCGAAGTCAAGGTTTCCAGCAATCAATTCAGGCTCTGAAGTGGCTTTTAAGAGTTACTGATTAAAGGGGAGCATCCTGCCAAGAGGCTGCTTATTTGGGGGAAATGGGAAATGTTCGGGAAAGCTGGTCTCTAACTGGTCTTGCCACCAAAATTCCTGTTGTCTCCATTTCTTTCCAGGGCGGAAACAACAGAGAAATCCATTCACATCTTTCTGGGCTGGAAGCACAAGCGATTGAGCTTTTATTGCTCGATAAGCATCTGTTTCTGTCTAGCACAGCATTTTGACTGTGGTAGAGCCTCCATCACCTGGAACAACAGGGCATGGGGCTGGCAGGAGCCGTCTCTGGATGAGTTTACACCACAGAGCCCTCTGCATCTCCTTCCACCCTCCTCATTGCCTTTTTTTTTTTTGGCTTTTTGGGTCATACCCAGCAATGCTCATGGGTTATTCCTGGCTCTGCACTCAGGAATTACTCCTGGTGGTGCTCAGGGGACCATATGGGACGCCAGGAACTAAACCTGAGTTGGCCACGTAAGGCAAGCACTACCTGCTATACTATCACTCTGGCCCCCACCAATATATATTTTTTTATTTTTCAGTTGCAAAAACTCCACTGTGGTGAATCTTATGGGCAATCTCTTCCCTTTGACCCCTCTGAGCTCACTCAAAGGCGTGATGCCATGAAACTGGGCAGATGCCACTATTCGATAGCTCTGACTCTGCCTCAGTAATGTTCAACAGTCCTTTCCCCATAACACTGACCTAACCTCCACTTAAGGTTTGCAATGAATCAGCTGTGGGAATGATGTGGCTTCCAGGAGTGACTGATAGAAGGAGTGTGTCTGATAACATCTTCCTCGTTTGGAGGAGCTGATACTGGTCAAACATTTGCTAAACCTTGACCTGGCCTTGCCCACAAAACCACAACTAAACCTATTCTTTATTTTTCCTCCCAAGGTAGCAATGAGAAATTTTTTTTACACAAATATGCATTTTCCTTTTTACAGATTCCCACATAATTTTACTTTCTGAACCAATTTGGGCTCAATTTCTTTTTTGGGGGGAGGGTGGTTTGGACCACACCAGGTGTTACCCAAGGCTTACTTCTGGCTGTGCACCCAGGGATCACTCCTAGCAATGCTCAGTAGGTTTCGAACCTGGGTCAGTCACATACAAAAGCAAACAACTTACCTGCTGTACTCTCTCTCCAGCCGCAGAGGGTCAATTTTATATAAGATGTCCCTTTCTTCATCCCTAAACACTTCAGTTTGCTTTTCTTAAAATGAAAGGCTATATAATCCATAGCACAGTTATCAGCTCCTAATCTACACTGACAAAACTTTAACCCAATGTATTATTTATACTCGAATTGTCTTGGGAGATCAGAGTGACCTTTATAGTCTCTCACCCGCCACTCCCCTCACCTCAGTCCAGGATCCAGTCCAAGATCCGGTATTACATCTCGTTGCTAGGACTCTTGAGGCAGGGCATGTCTACAATCTTTCTTTGTTTTCTATGACACTGACATTTTTTAAGAGCATACATTCCTGCTTTGGACTAGGAGAACCTTCCTCATTGCTTGTGTGATGTTTCCTGCATCGAGATAATGGATTCTTGGCAGGATTTCCTTCTCTTTCTGAAATCTACCCCCTTCCTATGAAGATCAATCACTTTCAGTTAAGGTCTAATTTGGGTCCAACAAAAGACACCACTCCTGAGTGCACCGTTGGTGAGCTTTGCCAATTGTACATCCCATGTTTGCACACCCTGCTGGGGAAATGATGTCTCATACTTGAAATGAGCCGATCAACAGTCCCCTTACATGGACTGGAGTCCTAACCACCATGCCTTCAAGGCGACAGAATTCGAGATAGGAGCTCCCTATCTGCTTGCTGGATTAGATGCTGCTCGATTCATCTGTTGTTCAACCAACCCAGGAAGAGCTTGAAAATGATCCTAATAATGAAAAATAAGTCTGTGACATCATGCCGAATTGTTCACCGAGACCTCAAAGTGGTCATTAGGCCACAGAGATCACAGCTTCTTGTGCATCTGCAGCTGTCATGTGGTGTGGATGATTTGGCTCATAGGTTTTCTTCTTCCATTTTCTTAAAATGGAAGGAGAAAACCACAGGGAAACCAAGCAGA